AAAACCTAGGTCGCGTGTCCTACCAAATACTAAGAGGGGATCAAATCCTCTATCTAAAAACTATTTGAATATACTATTAGATATAGTTATAATTGAAGGTTGCAAACCATTTACAACATTTTCCCACTCAACCCAACATCAGGTACCAAAGGTAGTGTGGGTTCCAAGAAGTTATAAAGTGACAGTGGCCATAAGGCTGAAGGTTTGATGATAAGGGTTAAGGAACTTAGCATGCACGCAGTTGATAAGATGACCCTTAGTAGGATCCTTAAAAGTGTAGGTATTGGTTGCGTCTTTTCAATAATCCATAAATGGCCTTTCCAAATGTGCTCTAGCTTGCTAATCCTTCCTAATCCATGGGTATTATAATACCAGAATAATACCCTTACATCAAAATGTAGGTAAAGTCCAGCGGTTCTTGTTAATGTAAGTCCTAGCCTTTAATTTTTATGCTAGTTCATTAGAGTAGGCTGATCTTTGTAATTAACTTATAGTTTGTGTGAGTTTCTCAAGATATTGGCTGGATCTCACACTTTTCTTTTAGCACTGGAATATAAATGAGGAGGCAAATAAGGGATGCTTCTCATGTGATAACTCAAAAAGAGAATAGCCCATGGACGAGTGATAAGCAATATCATAAGCAAACACAGAGAAAGACAAAAAATGTTTGAGCTGGAAGCTTTGCCAGAACCAACTTACATAAAATACCCACCAGATTACAGTTCACTCTTTCAACAGTGCTGTTGGTCTCATGGTGATAGGGCGTAGACAGTGCCTCTCCTATATCCATCAACTCATTGAGTTTAGTAATTATATGGCGTTAGATACAAATTCATTTTCTGTTAGAATGAACTGGGGGAAACCATGTTGATAGAGTAAGTTTTCCAAAATAAGCTTAGCGGTGTTCACTGCACCCAGGTCTTTATCTTCTTTGCCTCCTCCCATTTTGTGAAGTGATCAATGGCCATATTTGTCAGGCTTTCTGCCCAAATCAAATTTTGCATGAGACAGATGATTAGTGTGGGAATCCAGCTGATTTGTGCTTGCTTGGTGCTTGAAGCCTGCTGGATTCCACAAAGATTTTATAAAAAATTTAATAAATAAATAAAATGCTAATAAAAATGTGTTTTTATGGTTTTTATTGAGCACAGGATAAAGAAAAAAGATGATTTGACCTCCAATGATCTAGTATTTGAGTAATTTTGAAAGTCAAGGGGAAATTGGGAATATGTTCAGAATATCCTGCATGAGTCTGAATTAGGAAATATGCAGGAATAAAATGTCATAATTTGGGAACTCTCATCAGGGCAGTGGAGCAAAGGATGAGAAATTCTGATTGGCCCAAACATACCCATGAGGTAACGTTTTTATAAACTTGAGCAATCACCACCCAGGAAATTTCTTGCACCTTGGGGGACCCCCACTAAGCCTATAAAAGGGGGGTCTCCGCGCAGGTGCATTAAAGGACTTTGTTGGGGTAAGGGGAGTGCCTTCCATTGATTCCCCTGAGGTCCATGGTGAGGTCAGAGAAATCTGACCCACTGATTTTACTAGGGCCCATATGGGTTTCTTTTTTAATACTAGATGGTCCCAGGCCCATATGGGTTTTAAACTGTTGATTCCCCAATTAATGGGGTTCCACCGAGAATCAGCAAGGGACTAAAGGCCAATTTTCTCAACCTCCTTATTCTCATTATTAATAAACGAATTTTTCACACATCAGAAAATTGCAAAAGGCTGACATTTCCCCTCTTGGGCTGAATTCAACCTTCAACATTCTTATTTTTAGCGGGAGGGCAAAGTTCTGACAATGGGAATTGAAGCCAATTTGATAAAATAGCCAAAGCTATTATTGGTAATAATCCCCAACTTATTTCAAGCCGTCTATATATTGGGGACAATCCCCAACTAATTTCATGCCCTCTTGATATTGACTATCTCTGACTAATGAAGTCAAAAATTACTCACCTGAAACCCCCTAGTATCAGGGTTCAACAATAATATGCAGCAATCAAATTTCATCTGAAAGAAATGAACAGCCTGCTGCAGAATCCCCAATTGGTAAATGAGTTAAGATCTTAGCTTGGAAAGCTTAGAGACTTACTGAGAAAAACTCCCTGATCTCACATATAGTCCTTTTTGAAGTGGATATACTTTAAACTCTTTTTGCCATTTTTTTGTTAAATTGCCCTGCCTCTATTTGTTTAGGGACGAAAAATAGTTACAATGTACCAATCAAGAAACTTATCCTGAGTGAAAACTATTCAGTCAAGGAATGTAAAAAAACTCATGATCCAGAACCTAGGAACTTTGGGTCTCCTGGATTTAAAATAAAAGGAAAAGTGGTCTAAACCTCTTAGTCCTGGCAAAACAGGTGCTCCCTGCCAGGTATAACCTGAGTTCACGATGCAACTATTATTATAATGAGCAATAATGACTAGGTGTCAGATCCCTCTCTGGAACAGGAACACCTTAAGATCTTGGCGAATTTACCCGCTGTAATACGCGGTATAGAGCAAAGAGTTCTCGCTCATAAACAACACCAATTCAAACCTTGAGATGTGACTACCAAGCTTAAAATTGAAATTTGGCAGTTCCCCTGCTTGTTGCCACAAAATCGGTCCTTCATGCCACCCAAAATTGGGTAGACTTAGTAATTGAAGCTATCTAAGCCTTACAAAGTCAACTGGACACCCTCCATCCTAACAAATATTCCAGTGTAGCAGTTTCTTATTTGGATGAAAACGTTCCCCAGTGTCCATTCACGTCGTTTGGCTGTTAACCTCCCCCCAGTGGCATGTTCAACTCATCGTTCAATGAGAAGTATGTTTCAGGCAAAGGAAGCAGCTTCTCTTTCACTATTTCATTTAAAAGTGCTATGGAGGAAGTCAAAACACTTAACGGCTCAAACACCTAACTAACTGTCTTAGTGCATAGCCATGACACTTTGGTACCTTACCTAATGCATTGACGCGATTGGGGTGATTCCAAGACTCTCATGCTTTGGGAATTCAGGAGCGACCTAGATTTATCAAAGCAAAAGCAAACTTTTATGGCATAAACTTTAATCAGAGAGAAATCATTACTGGGTTAGTCACTGTTTTTACCTTGAGGCACAAACGTTGGTCACCAGAAAACGTCTTTCTTTAGATGACACTATCACTACTCTTTTTTTGCATTAAAAATTTGCCTAAAATTCTACTATATCCTAAAGCGTGAATTCTAACTAGACATCTCTCCTTTATATTAAAAAGGCAAATTTGGAGATTCCGGCGAACCTACTCAAACCCACTGAGTCCCCTTAAATTTGATAATAATAAGTGTTGACCCCAAGGGTTGGTGGTTACCCCTCCCAACTTGCCTACCCCTGAATAATTCTGCATTTTTTGCAAGATAAGCAACCAAACTGTAGATATTTGTCACAACTTCCAATGTAGGTTGGCAAAAGATCAGTCAGTATAGGGAAGGAGGCTCCCTATGCTGATTATAATAATGTGCCTCAGGACCCTTGTGTAACGGGTGGGCTCACACCAATACGCAACAAATGAATTGGGCAGTAAGAGGCTTGTACTGACCATACTTGGGACAGGCCTGTTGAAGCCCATCCCAGAACCAAATTGCCATGCCTTGTCATTGCCACGTATTTTTGTACCACTGTTCCCACACCTCTGCAAAACAACAGCAAAGTTTGGGACCAGGAAAGGGCTGAGAATAACATCAATGCCACACCAAGCTCACCGGATGAGCTCATATTTCAAATCTGATCCACTTAATATTCTAAATAAAATTATACTTCCCTTTATAATCAAGTTTTCCTTTATTCAATTTATGTTTTCCTCATAGAATACGCAACTGCCCTTCAGGGCCGTGACATCCCCTAAATAGTACCCTGCTAGTATGGAATAAGCTCCTCCTCAGCTAAGCTTTTTTGAGCACCATCCAGTATATTGTTAGCGAAGATTCCCCATCCCACTGGATCACCATACACACCACGCATAAGCCCAATGTCATTCCATAGATGCAATTCAGGTTTGGGATGGCGAATTTACCCAGCTCAAACCCTTCCAAGTTTGATGCCCTATGGATCAGGGCCATGTTATAATTGAACGCCGCCTGATCTAAAGCAATGTACGGATTAGGTGCCTGCTGACCCACTACACCTTGCACTAGCTCTAGTTCTATGCCCAGAACCTTAGGATGCTTTGTGTTAGTGGCGCCTGCAGAAGTTAATGTACCCCTTTCTATCCAAAGAAACAAAGATCTTCAGCTTTCAAACTTTTATGTTAGTCATTTACCCAAACAAAGTATGAAAGTCAGTTCCTCAATGGAAGTGAGCCCTGGAAGATAAAACCTTTAAATGCATTGAACATCCCAGAGCTTGGCTGCGGAAAAATCCTTTACTTGCTTTACTACAAATCCCCCACAAAAGTTTACTAGCCATTAATTATCATTTTGGCTCTTCAGTGGTTCAGTAAAGGTAGTTGTTCTTAAGGTTAAAGTCTTGGCAATAATTGATACTGTCTCACTGGTTAATGTAATATCATCCAATTTATCCAGAAAAATAAAAATGGCTCCATACTTGATTTACAAAGCTTAATATGGGACGGCTGCTAATTGTACAACTAAGGCAATCATGGAGTATTCCACCTTACCTCTCCAATTCAGAAAGCTTCTAACTACTTCCCCCGCTATCTTATTATAAAACAATAATTACAAATTACTTATTGTAGTCCAATTGATATAGTAGTTTAACTGCATCATCAACAATAAAGAAAAGTACCTTTCACTATTATGGTATCAGATCTCGTTAATATCCAACAACCCAGTCAAAAGTAAAGGAATCCTGAAAACAAACCTGCCTCCTCAAACATCTGTCCTCCATTTGTAAAGTTGAATATTAAGTCTTAAGGAAAAACTAAGTTACCCCCTGAGGCTGTGGACGCTGAAAATGGGATACCTCTATATGCCCCCCGTCCTAATAATATATCTTCTGGCTCAGGGTATGGAAGGCAAGTTGGTATGGCATTTGACTACCAACCTGAAGATTGTGGGTTCAATTCCCACCATTTGCACATTGATCAGGGTGCCAGCATAAGGAAGCTATTGGCGGTTAGTGGGCCTAATAACACAAAAACCTTACCTGTGACGTAACCAGAAAAATCTGAGTCCTAATATGGAGGTGGAAAAACTTGCTTTGATGAAGTTAAACCTTCTCAAGTTTCATGTCTTTACTTTCTTTCTCTATTTCAGTAATGTCTGTCCTCTGTTCAGATTGCCTCAAATAAATAAGTTAAATTATATATTCTGGCTCACAAGTTATTGTTGATACGGGGATCAAGATTTTCACTCCTCCTAATCAAGTCCTGGAGCTGAGTGGACAACCAAACCCTTCAATCAAATAAGCGTTGACCTGAATGGGGATTTTGGAACCTTCCCACGGGAAATCTATCTCAATCTTATTGATATTTAACAGATCAAACCCTTTAAGTCCCTCAACATGCCCTTATTGTAAATGTAAAATTATGTTTCATTGAGAATATCGCCAACATGAGTTGTTTTGGCTCTTTATAAGATTTAGGGTTTGATCCCCTACCCACTATAGCTATGGTCAACAGCAAAATTGGAGAAAATCTCACCCTTAAAAAATAAAAAGACCGTCAAAGAACTCCTTGAGGAGAATTGTGATATTTTCCTTAGGGACCAATTGATTACAGAAAGATGTCTGGGGTAATTCATCACATTGAGACTGAGGATCACCCTCCGTTTGAATCTCTGCCATTTAGAAAACTAAAGTTGAGAAAGCTCAAATAGCTCTAGAACTAAAGCAATTGTTGTAAGTGGGATTACTTGTGCTTTCTATAAGCCTAAGGGGTCCATGCATTTATTACTTTGGAAGAAGGATGGTGGTCATTATGATGTCATGGATTACCGCCAACTAAATTCTATTACACAAAAAATTATCTATCCATTGTTTGTATAGATGATTTTTTATGCTTAATGTTGGGTTCCAATTATTTTTTTAGATGGATCTCACCAGTGTGTAGTGTAGAGTCGACTTATTGCCTGAAGATCATAAAAATGAGCTTCCATTTCAACAAAGGAGTATTTGAGCCAACTCAAATGCCACAGGTGTTTTATAACGTCCCAGCCACCTTCCAATGGGCCATGGACGGACTTTTAGGTGACTTGAAACGTTTGTATGTGCTAGTTTATCTCAACAATATTACCAATTTTTAAAAACTTTTGATGAGCACATAGATTATCTCAGGCAAGTTTTCTAGCGGTTACAGCAAGCCTCATTAAAACTAAAGCTGTCAAAATGCTCCTTCCTTCATAGCGAAATGGATTTTTTGGGCCATAATGTAGGTAAAGCCTGAATATCCCCTAATGGACAATAAGGTTATGGCCATTTCTAAGAAGTCCCCCTAAAACCCTATGAAACGTACAGTTTTTTTGAGAATGATGGGATATTATTGCCAATTTATTCCCCATTCTTCTGACACCTCTAATCCTCTAGCATACATATTGAAGAAAGGGATACCCTTTCAGTGGAAAGAAGAGCAACAGAAGGTATTTGACCTATTATGCACATATATCCCACTCTCCATTACTTATATATCCTAATTTTGATAACCTTTTCTCCTCATTACTAATGCTAGCAATATAGCCATCAGAGCCATACTATCACAGCACGATGAAAACTTAATACATATCATATCGCCTACTATAGTAAAACCCTAACCAGAGCTGAACGCAACTATAGCGTTTTGGAATAAAAATGCTTGGTGGTACTACTGGCTATTAAGCATTTCTTGACTTTATTTATATGGGAAACATTTCACTATAATAACCAATCATGCTTCCTTGCAATGTCTAAAGCAAATGAAGGGCCCTGACGGGAGGTTAGCCCAATGGTCATTAAAACTTCAGAACTACGATTTTCTATTATTCATAGACCAGGGCCCATCTACCAAAGTGCGGATTGCTTTTCCAGTTTCTCATATTAACTAAATCTGACCCTGAAGAGGATCAATTCTACAACCTCCTAACTCGATCACAATTATGGAAAGACAATTCCCCAATACTTTAGAAGTAATTAGCAAAAAGATAGTGAAGCTTCAAGTTAGATATGGCCAACTGTACAAACTCATGTTTAGAAAATGGTTGCCCTATATGATCTTTTTCTCAAAATGACATCATTTTGGAGAGACATTGGCAAGTTGGACACGTGGAATTTTGGAAATATTACCAGTGGCTCAAGACTCAATGCTACTGTGAAGGAATGCTTGCTTCAATGTAAGATGTATTAGAGTCCTGCTTGGTATGTAAAAGTCATGCCAGACTTAATCCCTGATCTCAACATCCAGTGGTTCCACCATGTGAACCCTTCCATACTATTAGCATTGGTATTGAAATCCTCTCCCTTGAGCCTCTAAGGGCTTCTCAGTTCCTCCTTCTAGCCGTGTATCATTTAACTGAGTGAATTGGAGCCGTATTGCTACCATCTGCTTTGGCAAAAGCTACTGCCACATTATTATATAATAGGATTATCAACCAGCATGGGTTCCCTAACATATTTCTCTCCAATAACGGACAGAACTTCTGATTGTTGCTGGTTAATGATTTAGCTGAACTGATTAAATCCACTTACATATTTCACTTTATACCATCCTGCAACCAATGGGATGGTTGAGCGAGAAAATGGTACTTTAATTGCAACTCTCTGAAAGATGGTCATGACTGACCCCCTTCATTGGCCCCAATGTCTGCCTAGTGCAGTCTAGTCTATATAATATGCCATCATCAGATAATTAAGATGTCGCCCTTCCAAGCGTTTTATGGAAGAAATCGCCTGCTGCCTTCTAAAATGCAGGCCATGCTTGACCAAGCCTCCCCCAAAGCCCCTGAAGTCACTATAAAAGTATTTCCAATGAGATTATCTGACATCTGGCCCTGGCTTCCAAAAAATTTGTTTGACACCACTGATAGAGAAACAAGTTGGTTCAATAAAAAGCATGAACCTCTGTACCTTCCAACAGTATGATCTAGTCCTTTTCTACCATCATCAGCTGGAGGTCACAATAAAAAATTGAGAACAAACTGGTTGGGTCCTTACATAATTATCTATAAGTAAGTTAGCAAACTTTCAATTGTAGAGGTTGCTCATGGAACGGTGGTAGATTGTGTACACAGTCAATTCTCTGACCATTTTCTCTTCTGCTCCAAGATTTAGAGGGGGTCGTTGTCAGGGTTCCTGCCCAAATCAAAGATTCACTTGAGTCAGATGATGATGATTAGATCCAATCTGATAAAATAGCCAAAACCATTATTGGGTAAGATTCCAAACTAACTTCAAGCCCTCCTGATATTGACTAACCCTGACTAATGCAGTCAAATTATTCTCCTAAAACCCCCTAGTATCAGGGTTCAAGCCAATCTATGCGTCAATCAAATCTTATCTTACAGAAAGTAACAACCTGCCGCAAGATCCTTGATTGGAGAATGAGTTTAGATCTTAGCTTGGAAAGCTTAGAGACTTACTAAGAATAACTCCCTGATCTCCCATATAATGCTTTTAAAGCAAATAAACTTTACACTCTTTTTGTCATTTATAAGTTAAATTGACCTAACTCTATTTTCTAGGGGTGAAAATAGTTAGAATTTACTACTCAAGGAACTTATCCTGATTGAAGACTATCTAGTCAAGTAAAGTAATAAAAACTTAAAATCTAAAACCCAGGAACTTTGGTTCTTCTGGCTTTTTTTAGTACTAGTGGTGCCCATCCCAAAGGGGGAGCCTCCACGCATCTTTATTTGCAAATGGGCCAAACAAAGGGATTATCATAAATTTAAAAATTACTAATATAGCTCCTAGGTTATCAGCCTAGGAAGCCATATTAGATGGCGAGAACACTTCGGGGAAACTTTTGTCTGGCGCCCGCTTTAGCTGGCGGACCATGGCAGACAGCATTAGGATGGGAGCATCAGCGATATGGGGCATAAGGAGGTATTTTGGGGGTTTTCTTCATTAATGAGGCCGGTGGTGTCCATCGCCTCAACATATTAAGCAAGTTGATGCTCAGTAAAAATGATGGGAGCTGGCACACAAGTAAATGTCTTGCTGCAAAGGTGGGTTTTGGGATGAGAGGTTGAAAAGAGAAGTTTTTTCTGCATCAATGCAATTGCAGCTTGCACTGAAAGCAAGCTCCTCAATTTCATACTTTTCATCTTCCTCAAAATCTTGAGGAAATTTCGGGATAGGAATACCCTTGACAAGGGGGTACATTGCCCATGAAGTTGCTGGTGGAGGAGGGTGTTGGATGGGGAAGCTGAAGCCACAACTGCCATTTTGTTAATATTTTTATAAACAGGAAACAGTTTTTTGGACAAAGATGGCAGGAACGCAATTTGGGAGGGTCAATGAAGAACTCCTCCAAAGCAAAATCTGGTTTCATGTGGCACAGCCATTAATTCTCATCAATCCATTTGAGAGCATTGAATGGATTAAATTTAGCCTGTTCTGGGCCAGCCACAGGGATTGGGGATGTGGCTGGAGTTGATTGGCCATGTGCTGTTGACCATGGAAGCTCAGCTGAAACTGGTTCAGCCATCGACTCAGGATTCTGTATATAGTCAATTTTCAAAAAATTTAAATTTGCTTAAATTTTGATTGGCCACCACTTTGGAAGCAGTGCCAGAATTCCCCAATGTTGGGGGCAGGAGGATCGAGCCCCATTTGAAAATTGGGGCAAGGCAGCCACCGGGGGTGCCCAAGCCCTGAGTGGTGGATGTGGAAGAAGTGATAACTGTGAGGCAATTGCACTTTGAGTGGTCAATCTTGAAGCACAAGGGGCAAATGGTGAAGCCATTTTTTGACGCGCACCCAGAATGGGTGATCAGGGGAAGATCTGATCACAGTGCGGGGGGGAATCATGATTTGAGTGTCATGATGAAATGGGCGGATTGTTGCAAAGGCGTGAGGCCCTGCCAACTGATCTGCCCCATTGGGAACCACAAACTGCAACATGAGGTCTGTGCCATAAATGGCCAACCCCTGTGTGAGCTTGTGGTGGA